TCGTACGTCACATGTGCACCGCACACATTGTAACATCGGAGATACTCTAACAAACTAACAACAGAAGCAAACGAATAGACCAACCAACGGTTTAGGTCAACTAACTACCCAGCTAAGTGTTACACAAAGATAATGATCTTTAATTATAAGCTAATAAGTATTCTTCTTAATGATTCAAATTGTTCTTTATATATAGAAACCCTCCAGAATGTGAGTTTGATTATTATATAGTCCAATATAGTTATGAAAAAATCTATATTTTATAATTAAAGTGGAGACAATGAATCACCTGCAGGCGGCTGTTTTGGGATCGTGGGATCCTCCAGTTTCATGATGTTTTAGCTATATATATGGATGAGATGCAATATTATGTATATATAATATAATAATTATTATTGCTTCTTTGTTTGAAATACTAGCTTAATTAGCTACTTATATAGTACATATGGAGGGGGCCGGTATATATAATGTGGGTGCATGCTCTTAATTGACAATCAATCAGGCACGTACGCCGGAAAAGTGCTTCAAATTTTCATCTTTAATCATCATTTTCTTAAACTTTTTATACTACGGGTCAACTTCACATAGAAAAAATGGGGTATACGAAGACGTATTCGCTTACGTCACGCAAGTATTGTGAATCAGAGGATAATGATACTGGTAGCTAGGAATTGAAGAACGTTATTGTTCATGATTCACATTGTTTAAAATAAATTAAATTTATTCTCAATTTATTGTACCCTCAATTTTTCCTATTTTTATTCATTTGATCGTTCGGACAAAGACACCTTGAATATTCGTATTTTAATTGTAATTTTTGACATTTAATCATTGGAGTATTATAGATCTAAAACTGTTAGTTCTTGAATTGTGGTTCTCGCGAAGAGGAAAAATCAGTGATTCAGCCGTTATGCGCGAATGACTGAAAAAGGAAAGATACGACAATCTTAGAGAATCTCAAAAAAGTTAATTAATAGAAAGTTGTTCACATTCTTTCCATTATGTAATAGATATTCGGTTGTTTGTGATCACAATGTCAAGCATAGCGTATACATCTAAACATTATATTTGCCATTGTGAATAAAAAGTAACTAAAATTTATCATGGAAAGGAAGAGAGAACATTCTATTAATTGAATCTTTTTCGTGTTTATATCTCTTCTGATCTAGTGATCTGTCACATGTGTAACGTTCAGACATTTGCATTTGAGATGCTTTTAATGGGACGGACCGAAAAGAAAAGATGAAACGATCTTTATTGGACGGAGGGAGTATACGGTGGCTTGGGAGATTTTGCAATTGTATGGGATTTGCGAAACACCCAAGATGCTCTTTTGCGGAGCAGATATGAATCTGGTGAGGAAATATCTCGTGAGGATGAGGATGTTATGCTTCCCAGAGAGGCCTGGCTTTAAGTATGCATAAAAAAGTCGGGGTTTTGGGGTTGAGTTCCATCCTTGAGTACGTTCGATTGTCGAGCATTCAGTGACATGGGCCGTAATGCACATTCATGGCCGGTCCTGTCCATTTATGGGCCTATGGGCGGTACGCTATTTTGAGCTTATATTCATGATAAAAAGTAAACCATATTTCGACAATGAAGTTCATAAAATAAAGACGAGAATCACTTTATTATTATATAAATTACATATTTGGGCAAAAGTAACAACATGAGTGTCGAATAAAAAGAAAAAACATTACTTAAAAACGTTTCTCGTAGACCAATGTGAAGCAAATCATTAATAATTGCTCCATAGACAACCTTCTTTACACTAATAAATATGGCAAACAATAAAATTGTCACATACTATCGTATAACAACATCAAACTTTCTTTTGATAGAATAAATGAAAAGAAATATTACCACTTCTTGAATTAATAAGTTGAGGATGATTTATTGACCGCTGATGAGAGTCTGGAGTTTGAAGTCTCGAAAGAATGAAGGTTTTCAAAGAGACAAAATGTTTGCCTTGCAAGAGGACTCGCGCAAGAATATTGCAAATTTGACGTCCTCTAAAACTACTATTAGGAACTCAGATATAACTTATTAAAATTTGGAAACAAATGAATAATTGGGGTGAAATTTGAGAGAAACGTGCTCTAAAATAATTATATAAATTTGTTATGTTATAATTAAATTGAATAAAAAACCTTAAAATTTAAAAAGATGTGAGGACTGGAGATACATGTCTTTTATTTATGCAGCAACAATTGTATCGCTGTTAAAAACTACGTATAACCGATCCTGCTAAAAATTAATGTATATATTCAGTTTTAAACTTGTAGCTGTTTAAGAATAAAAAAGAAGCCTACTCACACTATTTATAAAGAAAAAAGTTAATTGCCGGGTTCGAATCCCACCAACTGCGATGAAAGGTTACTATGCTAAAAAATGCATAGGGCCTCTGCAAGTACCGGGGACAGAACTTCAGTCTCTATCTGTGAGATTGAGATTATAGTCCAACTTACATCCTCCCAACGTACCGTCCGGTCATGGTTGGGAGCCCTAAGGGGTGTCATCCTTTTATAAAGAAAAAAAATTGGACCTGTTTTTTCTTCCATTTTTGTCGGGCCTAGGGCGGTCTCCCCCTTTGCCCCCTCAGAACCGGCCTGTGCACATTACCTCAAAGCAGCAGCATCCCTGGATAGAGAGGCCCTTCTTTAAGGTGATTTCTTTATTTATCAACTGTCTTTTAACTAACTTCAGTTAGTTCACTTAATCACCATCCCCAACACTTGGCACATAATCTCTATGAACAAGGACGGCTCATTAAGAAGATCCTGCTTCAAAGTTATACTATATATACTTAATTGCGTCTTTGAAATCATTCTTTTTTTCAGTTCTTTGGACCCTCGACTGCAAAGTGAGTTCCTCCAGTACCTGCAAGCTAAGGGAGTTGATGAAAATCTGTTGAGCTTTCTCATACTCCACCTCCACAAGAAGGAACAAGGTCCGTGTGGGACACAACAAAATCAATGAAACGGACCGAGAGTGTGAGGCATCTCGAGCCTTTATTTTGGTTTGCCTTTTTTTGTGAAAATATATTGTCCTTGTTGCTCAATGGCCTAACTTGTGCCGTTTGATGATGAATTCTGGAGAGTTGTAAAGGGAGAGGAATCAATCACATTTTGGTTGAAAGTAAATGAGAGGAAATATTATCACTCCCTCCGTTTCTCCTATTTCGCTTTTTGTGATTCAAGATTTGTTACTTTGTTAACTTACAGAGAAATTGTCCTAAATAGGTGTTGGAATTCCAAGATATGACTGTTATGTTTTTCTTTCCGAAATAGAAGTCATTAGTCATTACTATCATGATTAGAAAATATTGTTATGTTAATGTATAGTACTGCAACTATTTGGATGTAATGACTTCCATATGAAAGTAAATACCTTCAACTCTTCAAGTTACTCGTATTTCGAAAAGAAAACATAGCAGCCTTATTTTGATATTCCAAAACCAGTTTACTCCTATTGCGAGAACTTTCCCTAAGTTATAATATTAACCCATAAAGATAGACTATCTGGACTAATTAGTCGTTTCATAAATTAGTCTGGTTTCCCAATTGAACAAGTTTGTATGTTCGTAAGTAATGTATCATAAACTGAGTATTTAAACTGGTACAAGTGAATGGGGTTATGTGTCTGAAAGATGCGTAGTTTATTGATATTCACTATATTGCCAATTATTTATTATACTTAGTGTAATAAAAACAAGTTCTCATTATCGATGGAAGAGTATATTTCATTCATAATATTTTTTAGGTGACAACTATGGTACCCATTTAAAAATGGGGTACCATACTTACCACTCTTTTGATTGGTTCAAATCATTATCTTATTTTTAATTTAGATTTAAATAATTCAACTACATCATTCTGATTGGTCCATATGGACAAAGGTATGATACCTTAAGGGTACCATATAATCTACCTATTTTTTATTATGGAAAATGATTTATATCGCAAGTGTATTATAGAATTGTACGTTGCTAAGAGTAGTATCACTAAAGTTATTGGTACCCATTAATATGCATAATATGTACTTCTTTGTGGCAGAGACCGTGGATGGAGTGGGATGGGTCGACCCGACTCGAGCCCAACTTGGGCCCGGTACTGTATGTTCGGCCCGGGCCCATGCCTAGGCAGAGAGTAAGGTGACCATATACACTAACATAGGAAAATTGCCCAAAATAGGAGCAAATGAGATTTGAAATTCCGAAATAGTACTAGTATGTTTTTCTATCCGAAATAGGAGTTGTTACTGTCGTGATTGAAAAATATTGTCATTAATTATAATAAATAATGTCATGTTAAATGCACTGTACTGCAACTATTTAGCAGTCACGCCTACAAGATGATAGTAAATACTATCATGTTAGTCCCATTTTGGGAATAAAAATATAATAGTCTTATTTTGGAATTTCGAACTCCATTACTCCTATTTTGGGAAATCTCCCTTGCTGATACGGTCAATTCAGCCCCTGTTTCTGATCATGACAAATTTTATGATATTCGAATCCAATAAATCTGAATCAATAATATTTGTTGTGTAATTTCTAAATATTTAGATTCTCATTAGTAATATTAATTTAATATTATCACGAGAGAACGACTCTATCATTAGTCAAACATTGTAAATCAAAGTACGAATTAAACCTGAGAAAGCAAATAAGTTCTTATATATCATATATGGAGTATAGGTCAAACTTGAAATTAGTTCTTAAGAAAATCAGAGTTAAGACGAAGGCCTTGTTTTAACGTCCAACTTTATCAGATCAGTAAGCCTTAAAGAATATAGAACAATTGAACAAGAACCATCGGTTCTAAGAACAGGGTGGAGGAACACCTTACCTTCAGGCTTCAGTTCTGGTTAGGATTTCATTTTCTCCGGACCAAATTGATCCCATTCAGATATGGAAATAGTGAAAATGTGCTCAATGGTTGGCATAGCTTTGTTATGCAAGCATGAGAAGAGTAATTACATCTGCAAATATTGCAAGTGTAGAAAAAGAATACAACATAACTACAACAACAAGAAAAGTCCCTTCTCACCCACCCCATCTCTTCAACTAAATCTCTATGTATTTCTATGTGTCCTTTGATGATGACCATAATACTTTCTCGGAGTCAATAACTTAAAACAAAATACGATCAACTTCTAACCGATACCCTCCTCCATTACAAAATGCTTTAATTAATGAAACTATGAAGTAGACACAGTTGGGGATGTCACATAGAAGTAAGAGCCGTGCGGGACGGGGGAAGGGAGCATCACTTGTACCTCCTCTTGGCTTCCCCGTATGCAACGACCCCCGCAACTGTCATTGTATAGCCAGCAATGCCTAAAAATGTAACCGGATTTCGGAATATAAGTATAGAGATCACAACTGCTACCGCACCCTTTGCATTTCCTAATACCTGCAGCACAACAAAAAGTTATGATAAACAAGGTTAAATTCATTAAGAGATGTGGTTCAACAAAACTTCTCCACGAATTTCAAATGCTCTATGCTGGCCACCATAGCTGTGCATCAAAAAGACTTGCAGAGATATGCCCGTTCTTCTTAAATGACTATCCACAAACTAAATATGTTTTGTTCCCAAAAAGCTGTCCTTTAGTATACCAATAAAGTAAAACATTCTATGTTGACAAAGTTGTTCTCCCATTTTATTTAAATTTTCCTTTTGCATCTGATAATAAATAGAAATACACATGGGTATACTTGTTGCTCTAAGACAAATTAATTATCCCCTTAAAACCATTTTTTTCCTTGCGCGAAAGTAATTTTTCCTTGTTTTCAATCATTTTCAAAATCAGGTTTTGACTTTTTTTAGAAACCAAACAAAAAATGTTACCATATGAGACCCATTAGAACAGTAGAGTAAGAATTGTTCAAAAGTCAAGTGCCATTTAAATGTCTTATAATTTCCATTTCCAAAGTGACCTGAGGTTAAGGGATCGTTTGCTAAGAGTTATTTGGCTGATATTGCTCAAAGGAAAAACATTTGGTAATATCCACTTCTACCATGTCAATAGCTACTTATTCTATCAATTTTGCTGATAAGCAGAATAAGCCAACCAAGGGTACCAAACAGATCCACAGATCCCAACAGAGTGGACTTTCATGGAGAAGGTATTGAAAAATGAAAATCAACCAGGAAACCAACCTGAAGTGTCAAAGCGCTTGTATGCTTAGTCACCAAAAAGTTCAACAAGTTGGCTCCATAGGCCATTGAGGAATTAACCAAGAGGAGAAGCCACATATATCTGTGTTTGGTTGCAAGCGATAGGGTGACATCTATCACGTTTGGTTCCAACACCAGTGTTGCCGGCAATAGAACCATAACCGCAATTGGCGACATATAAAGAAGCAGATTCATAGAGTTCAATTTTTCACTAAAAAGGAAACACGTAAAGCTCTCTTACAATGAATTTATATAACTGGTATATACAAAAATTAATTGATATACTACTGCTGATATAAAAAAGAAAAAGTTAGACTCCTAGTTACCCTTCAGACGAAAGGAGTACGCCCTGAAGAACTGACTTGAAAGCTCTTGCAGCAGTTGCACTTATACACATGATGAATCCATACCAATGGAAGCTTGGCTCCCCCTACCATCAGTTGAGCAACACATTATTCTTTAGTGCACTCAAAACTATGATGATATTCATAAACTTCTAAATTACCCCCTGTCGCTAAGGGTCTGTTTGGATAGAGCGTTTTGGAGTAGAAATGTTTGGGGGGCTCAGTCAACAATTTGATTTATACTCGGTATTGGAGATTTTATAAAAACTTCAAACGTTACCATAATTTGTTTTCATATAATTGCAATCACTTTCAGTTTACCAAGAAATAGACAAAGCCCTCAAAAGCCTTCCCCTTGTGACCATCCCAAAGCTCACCATCCAAACAGACCCAAAGTTTTCAGCCTAGTCAAGAAATGTATGACTCCAGCTGCTACTTCAACCAGATTATCAGCTAAGCACATCTGGTACATGTAACTGTTCAACCAATACAAAAGTGCTCTCTATCTTTTCACTAAGTGCTATCTATCTTTTTTATGTGGGTTAGTTTGTTAAAGTTTTTAAAAGAAAAGCAATTTGTAAAATCCATTTCAGCCAAATACGTCAAAATTTGCTACTTATTCTCAACAAAATAACCCACCTTTGGCATCCAAACAGAGCCTACATGTATAACATGAATTGCCACTAAGAATCAAACAATGGAGTTGGATTAGTACAGCTCATTTTAATGCCAGACTTGGCAATCATCATTTCCAGACGGAATCTGTAAGTCCTCCATTTGGACAAAAAGCTATCTTTGGTTTCTTTAATGGATATATACCAATAGTTACAAGAATACAAAACTTCAACTACTAGTTCCAACTTCGTGCCTACTTGGAAACCTTACAAATTTGGTTTACCAATTCTGCACTGGCAAATAATTAGTTACCCTTTGGCTCTAAAAAAAATAAAATCCACTTCCAAAGCTATCTATTGAGATATTAATTTAAAAATTATATTTTTAAACATTCCCTTTTATAAAAAAAATGTTTTAGATAATTCAGCCACATTACAGCAAAAGTTTGGGCATTTATCAATCTCATTACTCCAAACCTCCATTTCAAATCGATGCAAATAGCAGATCCAGAAACACGGCCTTCTCAAATTTCCAGATTACTCCCTCAAATTAGGAAAAAGGTTCGAACTTGGAATATTACATCGAGATAGATGAACCATAATTTGATTTATATATAAAAATTCATCCATTATAAATATGCAAAATATTGCCCGAATAAGAAGTGGACGACTTAATTAAAGATATAATATAATATAATTAATTAACCAATGAATTAATTGAAGTAAAGCAAATACAAACCCCGCTGGCAATGACAACTCCGGCGACGACAGGGATGAGAGCAGCATAGGTAACCCAAGCCTCGCTCTTCCGGGTCATGAGGTAGGCGAACAGGGCGGTGAAGAAGGGGGTGGTGGCGCCGACGGCCTGGTTGAAGGAGACGGGAAGGTAGCGGAGGGAGATGTTGCCGCCGACAACGGAGGCGCAGAAGACGACGCTGAGGGTGGAGATGCGGAGGAGCTGAGATCGGGACTTGATGCGCTGGAAAGGAACGACCTTTAGGAAGACAATGGAGACGTAGCTGAGGAGGGCGCAGGCGGTCATGTGGCACATGGTGAGGAAGATGGGGAAGGCGAAGCCATAGTTAGAGAGGAGGAATTTGTTGAGGAGGAGGACGCCGATGTTGGAGGAGTACCATAGGATGATGAGGGTGAAGATGAAAAGGGCGTGTTCTCTTGACGGCGATGATGATGAAGAGGAAGAGGACATCGAGAAGACCATTGCTTGACGGCGGCTAGTCTTGATCCTCCGTCGGTTGGCGGTGGTGGGAATGTCGGTTCAAAATCAGAAAGATGGTGAGGAGGAGAGGGGAGGAAGATGTGAAGAAGGGAGATTGGTGTGATGCGGGAAAGATGGCATGGTGGTGGTGGGTGTGGTGTAGGTGGAAACTCCAGATCAAATCCTTCCCTTCCTTGTAGCTAGCAGAGCATGCGGGCAGGTGTTTTGTTCGTTCGTCTTTCTTTCTTCTCCCCCATTAAATTAAAGTTTGTCATCATTTATTTTGAAGTCTACCAAGAATCCTCCGAAACCTCTGAACAATTAAGATGGAAAATTTACAAATAGTATCCAATCCTACTAATTTTTCAAAACTAACACCGCAACTTGGTGTAAGAGTTAACTATGACCATAATACCCTCTTTTAATAAACTATTCAAGCTAAAGGACTATCTCACCGACTCTCTCAACTCCTGCGCATCACCTGCTGCACCCCTGCTTCTCTCTTGTCGTTTCTACACACCACAACCATCTGCTCCACCGCTGGTCCGTTGGTCCGGTGACCTCTGCTCCGGCGATCCTGCTCCACTGCTCCGGCGAAGAGGCAACCTTCTTCTCCGATGAGATGTTGTTCATCTCCGGTAATTATTTTTCAGGCCTGATTGATTGGATTGGAAATTGCGAGATTCGTAATCAGAGATTTTTAGATCTGAATTTTGTATTTTTAATTCCTACTAACTTATTATAAAAAATAAAATTACTTTTTCTAAGAATTTTAAATTACATAAGAGACAATACGTAGACAATAAGTAGACAATAAATGGACAATAGATAGACAATAAATTCTGATGGTCACAGACTTGGTCGGACATGGTGGCTGTGGTGATGCGTCGCCGGCCTGGAGTGAACTATGTTTGTGTTTTCCTCAAAATTCGAACTCAAGTCTCCGTTTGTGTTTTCCTCAAACTCTGTTTTTTACCTTGCTGCTCTACTTGATGTCTGCCGGAGAAGACGACTAATAACATGAGTACGGCCGATTGGCTTCCGACGGGGATATGGGTTCGAATTGTTTGCTGTAAAAATATGTTTTGTTTTAAGCCGGGGGTCTGAGGCAGGTCAAAGCCGAAGGATAAATAGCTAAAGGGGTAAAAGAGGGAATGTAAAATTAAGTTTACTTAAATAGAACTAAATAAGTGGCACGTATGGAAGAAACTATTCTAGGTCATCTTTATGTAAAATTGGTATGAATTGATCCTATTCGGGGCAATTTTCTCACAATTAAGTGCGGACCTAATCACAATTAGTTTTATTAGTACTGATTCAACGGACGAATTCAGTCATACTTACATGAGTTGCGGCATCGCATATCCTTTTAGATTGCTCCTCCTATCACATAAATGTGTTTACTTCATTAATATCTCCTTCATTCTCATCGGTGATTTAGTCGATGAAAGTAGAGAGAACCATGAATTGCAAGACCTCCCTAATCTCCCCTAACTCCCCTAAGTGAGAATTGAACTCAAGTTTAGGCCATTATCAATCATGTTAATCATTTATTATTGTTAATTAATACATTTCTCCTTGTTGTAATTTGGGTTTACCAAAATCTAGTTAAGATCTTAAACTATGTAGTTCGTGTCAATTAAACTACAACTGGAAAAGTGCTAACATTAAGATCTTGAAAAATGACCATCAACGTACATGGCACCCTTACTCAAATGCGGAATCTGGTATGGGAAGACAAAAATATACGATACTGATATGAAGGAATTTTTATGGATATCAAAAAATATGGGAGTTTATTTATAAGTATTAAGAAGTATAGGATCTTGATATTTATAAATAGTTTACTAAATTTAAAACTATACCAGTACGTAATCAGACTCTCTTCTTCTTTTTGTAATACGGTATTTTACAAACTCACTAATATAAAGTGAAATTGACACATATAATCTATACTTTTACATATTTTGCAAAAATAATCCCTACTTGAAAGATTCACAATAATAATCCCAATTAATTTATTGTTTTAAAAAAATAAATAGAGTGTTAACGGTCTTAAGTTTTCCGTAACTTTTTATTTCAAATATACAACAACATCCAAGCAAAAATATATTTGAAATATATTTTATTTCAAATATATTGCAGCAAAAATATATACTATCGTATAAACATTGAGAATATGATATTTGAGTTTAATCTTTTTTATACGTACCAAAAAATTAATTTAATATTCAATATTTTCATAAAACATGTTAGAAATATTTGAACACTACATAGCACTTACTCTTCAAATTATCTATTCACTTTCATTCTTTATTCGTATTTTATTTATATTCACTTTTGTTATTCATTATAATAGAGATTTCAAAGTAGTTTTAGTAATACTACATTAAATGTTAATACAAATTATGTAGAATATTGGGTATTTAATACTAATATTTCTATTATATTTTATGAAAATTTTTATAAATTAAATTAAATTTATCGTAGAAAAAGATTAAACTCCAATACAATATTGTTAATTTTATACATGCTTTTGCTTTGATATATTCCAAATTAAAAAAATAATGGAAAAGTTAACATTGTTAACCGTAGGATTACTTTTGTGAAACAGTTAACTAATGAAAAATAATGGAAAAGTTAACATTGTTAAAAGAAATAAAGATCTAGATATTACTAATAGACTTACCTTGGACATAAATATGACCATTTATATGTGGGACAAAAATGTGACTCTGTGTAATTAGATTTATAATAACTCCTAACCGTTATACCCTAACTCCACTCCTACTCAACGTGATACACTAACCCTCTCTCAATCAATTTGAATTTTCTTCAATATTTGAACCTTCTATCATACTTCACTAAATATAGTCTGTTGCTATCACATACTTTTCAGTTTTCAGTGACTATTGAGTCTGCATACTTTGAAGTTAGTGAGTACATATTTTTTGGTGACTTACATATATATTAAATAATTCTCTCTCCGTTAGTGACTACGTATTTTTCAATGACTACTATATACTTTGTACTTTTCAGTGACTACAACATCATTCAAGCTTTAGTTTCAAAAGACTTTGGAGTTCCCTAACGGCCTAACATGAATCCGTAGACGATATTAGAGTCAAATGGAAAAGAAATACATAAAAATGATAGAATAAAAAAGAGAATTCACTAAATAGGAGTAAAAACATTTTTTTTCAAACATGACATCTTTTCGGATTGGGCTGAGCATTTTTTTCTTGAATAGGAGTAACTTTTTTTCAATATTTTGGGTATATAACCTCGACATTACTTCAAAGTCATACGAATATTTTTCAGTGACTAGTACATACTGAATACTCGTCTCTCAGTTAGTGACTAACATATGTTTCAGTGACTTCTACCTACTTTTCAGGGACTATTTATTAAATTTCTACCACTCAATATGATGTTAAAAAAATGAAATTAATTTCACAACTAATGCTCCTAAATTATTGACAGTTACTATTTCCTATTTTTTGCATGTCAACTGTCAAGTACCGTTTAATTTTAACATGATAGTCTTACTATCATTAAATACATGTACGCTACTAATAACCACGAGTCATATTATTGGAAATTTAATTTCTAAGTCATCTTTTCGTCTTTTAGAGTATTATTGGTAATATTTATTAAAAAAAGGCCTAGAGATTATTGGTGAATTTTGCCCTGATATAATGTTTGGTTGTAAGAAGAAATTAAAGTAACGAAAATAAATGATACTTCCTCCATCCCGAAAAGGTTTGCCAAATTTCTTTTTTTTTATGTCCCAAAAAGATTTATCATTTCAATTTAAAGTAAGAAATATGTTGCTAAAGTTAATTCTCTCCCCTCTATGCAAATTTCAACCGCATAATTTTTAATTTATTAATCCACGTGAAAGTCAAAGTTAGCTAACATTTTCCGGATAGAAGGAGTAGAAAAAACTTGAGTAGATCGATGAAATAGATTATAAGTACGGCAATATGAGTATATGACTTCTGCAATAATTCTCGAAGAGCGAATTAGAAATGAGTGATTTTGTCAACATTAGTTCAGATTGTGTGCGTGATATGGGGGTGCTCAGAGAACATTGGGTGGGTCCCATAAAAAAATTCATACTCCTTTCGTCCCATTAAATTTGTCACATCTTGTTTTGCGGTGCATCTTACTAAGATTTTCTCATACTAAATTTGGTAAAATTTTGAGTTATTCTCAATCATTCTTACTTTGAGCCCGTTTGGTAGCATGAAAATTGGTTGATTTGACTGATTCTGCTGAAATTTATGAAGTTCTGGTTTAAGTGGTTGTATTGGTTGATTCTACTGATTTAAGAAAAAATTATTTTTAAAATATATTTTATTAATAAAATAAAGAAAAAAGTATATGTAAAAATAGCTAAAATGATCATCTACAGTAACTTTAGCCAATACAGCCAGAAAAGTAACTTCAACCTTACTTTGTCTGCTTATTACACAATTCAACGCACGAAAACAAAAGTTACGTGTTTGGTGAAAAAGTTGAGTAATAAGCTTGATAAGTCGAAAAACAGTGTTTCCAAACAGCCTCTTTATTTTTACTTTATCAACTTAATGTCAATCATAGAAATTCACTTTTCTTAATAACAGTATTGCCTCCTCATGTTAGTGGGATTGAGATATTAATTTTTATAAATTAAAGGATTTTTATGAAAATTGGAGTGACGTGGAATAAGACGCGGATTGGCCGCTCTTGGTTACGCCCATGACTCAAACACATCTTTGACTAATGTGGCAAATATGTATACAGGTCATTTTTTTATCGATGTAGGGTGAGTATATTAATTAATCCATCCACATTTTCTTTAGTTAATTAAGTTCATTTCCTAGCTTTCGAGTATTAATACATTGTCACCCTAATTTAGTTTTGAGGAATATTTAGTGCTAGAATAAAGTACTCTAAATGTAAGTTCTAAATATACTTCGTATAGAATTTATCTAATACAAAAATATACAGAGACCGCTTAAATATATTGTTAATTATGGTGTGATTGGTGTCTCGAGAACCATCGTCAACTAAGGTTGTAAACGAATCGAATAATTTTGATCCGATTCGCGATTCGAATTCGAAATTGATGATTCGAATTCGAAATATTCGAATACGAATTCGAATACGAATCAATTTTATTATTCGAATAAAATTCGAATACGAATACGAATATACATATATTCGATTCGTAAGTTATTCGAATATATTCGAATTGTATATTTACGAATTATAAATATATATTCTATTATATTTATAATTTATATAATTGTTTAAAATTAAAATATAAAATAGGTAATACGTATTCTAGGTTTAAGTAATTGAATTAACTTTGTTTACTTTATTTGTGTGTGTTTCTTTAGCAATTGAGTTTTGAAGTAATTGAATTTTTGAAATAATTCATTTAATAGACATTTGTGAAAATCGAAAAATGTCTAAAATGAGTCATAATTTGAATAGGTGATTTTTTTTACACTTCAAATATTTGAATTGGAATTCGAATATTCGAATTCGAATTCGAATATTCGAATATGAATATACTCGAATATAATAAACGAATCGAATACGAATCTATTGTAAGATTCGAATAATATCCGAATACGAATACGAATATTCGTCAATTTATACGAATACGAATAATATTACTCACTATTCGGTTCGATTCGATTCGTTTACAACCCTATTGTCAACAAAGACAGTTTTGTTTTGATCTCATGTTAATAAATTGACCATTTTAAAGATGTTTGTACTTTTTATTGAAAAATGGTGCAAAATTATATTCTTTAATGGAATTGGTATTGGGATTTTTACCTTAATATTACTAATTTCAACTCAATTTCTAAAAAAGTGACTAGTTTCAAATATTGACAAAAATGTGATTAATAAGGTCATAGATTTGGAAAAAGATAATGTAAGTGTAAAAAATTATGTCACTGCGATTTTTTCATGTCACTGGGAAGTTGTTATAGCAAGATTTTAATGTCACTTATGGATGTCATTGTCGCCAGAATCATGTCACTGTCACCGGAAACGTGTCACAGTCGCCCGAAACGTTTCACTGTTGCCGGAAACATGTCACTTTGACGGTCAGCGACTTTTTTTGGCAATTTTTCCAACAACACTGCCACCTTCCCCCTGTGCAACCCCAACCATGTGTGTCTAACAATGGTCCCGCACTCCCGCCCCGACGTAGTAATCTAGGCTGAAAGCAACATTAATATCATCCTGCCCCGATGTAGCAGAAACTCTAGCCACCGTTGCGCAAAACTCTGGCCGCCGCAGCAGCATTCTGACCGCCGCCATCAGATCCACCTCACATACCAACGTCATCACCATCTCTCAGCCTACCCTCCCCAACCAGCCCCCCTCCACCCCCTCCCAAGCTTCCCATGCCCCTGGCCCAAATCCCGCCCCAGCCCCATGAAAACCCCTACAAGCCCCGTCACCTTCCTGTACGCCGCCTTAACTCGACTATGCAACCACTGAAACCCTAGGATTTCAATCTTCCCCAATATCGCCCTTTCGATCTCATCCTTGTGATTTTGAGATCGAATCTGAGAAGGAGCGATGGAGACAGAGCGACGGCCATGGAGGATAAATCTGTGTCGCTAGTCAATTTCAATTCCAACGATGAAGGAGAAGAGGAGCGATGGAGACAGAGGGGCAGCAAGGCGGCGGAGGACGGGACGAGAAATGAGAAGGAAAAGAAACGGTGGTGAGGTTCGGAGGTGCCAACGTGGATGGAGGTGGCTTTGGTGTCGACGGTGGCGATGGAGTATAAGACTGAGTGCAGATGCACAAGAAGAGAAAGCAGAGCGCAAAACTGAAGCGGATGGAAGAGACGCCAGACGGAATGGGCTTAGGCTTTAAATCACTTTTTTGTCCAAACAAAAAGTGATCATATTTTTGTCCTATGAAACTACACAGATAATAATTGAGCCATTCTTTCATAGGTATTCTAGATTGAAGTAAAGATTTTTTTTCAAAAATATTACTGAAATGAAACATATGTACAAAAATATAACTAATACTCCCTCTATCCCTTATAACTTTATCATTTTTCCTTTTTTGGATGTCCCAAAAAATTTGTCACTTTCCCTTTTAATCAATGAATTTGTGGTTCCTATTATTTCTCTCTCCTCTGCATATATCTCAATCACACAGTTTATACTTTATTATTTGTCGTGCCGGTCAAACATGGCAAAGTATTGAGGGACGGAGAGAGTAATTACTATGGTATAATCTCATAGTACTTTAAGTGTAAATAATTGAACATAAATTATCATAACTAAGTTACTACTATAATCACTACACGTAACTCTGATCACATTTTTATAAATAACATCTCTTTTAATCATATGCATGTAATTTTTCTAAAAGAAATTCTTATTATATAGGTAATTTATGACATACATTAGAAATATCAATAATGATAGGCACTAGTAGAGTACTAAAATATTTACTCTGATTCTTCTCAAATCACCACACTTCAAATCTGATTTGAGGTAAATAGTCTCTTATTAGGTCTTTCACAGCGTGTTGTTATAATCCTCCCACTTCTCGTTTTAGCATACAAGCTCAAACTTTAACCAAACTAGGCATGGACTCGGTGTGGGCCGGGTCAGGCCTCAGGCCGGTTATGACCGGGCTTTTTTTGGGAACCTTGAGGCCCGGAACTGGCCCGGGTAGCTACCGGTTCCGGGTCGGCCTGGGTCAACCCAATTTCCTTTTTTTTATTTTCTAATTACTTCCTACCCCCACCCCACACCCCAAACCTGTCCAAAACACCCGGCCCAACCGCCCCAACCCATTTACCTTTTTCAAATTTTGAAAAACCAATAAAAATTTGGCCTGAACCGGGCCCGAACTGGCCGGGCCGATTCGTGATTTGGGAGGCCCGGGAACCGCCCCTGAACAATAGCGGGCCAGGTGGCCTGAACCGGGCACAGACCCGGGTACCGGTCCGGGCCAGTTACAATCCGGTTAACCCAACCCGAGTCCATCCCTAAACCAAACACATAAGTTTTTACTTCACACGCTAAATTGTGTAATAATATGAAAAGTTAAAGTTAAAGTTACTTTTCTGTCTATATTGACTGAATCTACTTATCATTTTAGATTTTTAGCTATTTTTTCAAATAATTTTTTCTCTATTTTATTAATAATATAAGGAGTATATTTTTAATATAACTTTTTCAGAAATCAACAGAATCAGCCAATACAGCCGATTTGGATATTACTGAACAGACTCTGAATTGATTGTGTGCACGAGTTACATGTCTAACACTATGAGAAAATGTTCTTCCATTAACTTCTCCATCAATTTTACATGGCAATAGAAAAGGCTTAGAAGCCAGTTAGGCCGTGGGGACACTTGGAATTGTTATGACTATCTTTCTAAAAGAAGTTGTACACTGGAGTGGTTTGCATTGTCTATTTGGTTGGGTGTTAAAGAGTGTGAAGGAATGCATGTAAAAGAGCTATGAAATCCTCCACGCTTTGTACTCCCAAACATTCCATGAGTTTTTAGTGAACCTACATACATATTTTCATTTACTTTTAGTCTTCAAAACATATTTTGCCATATATAATTCACACACAAGCAGGCGCAAATGGCCATGCAGTTAACCGACCAAACTGCTTTAAGAAGAGGATTTCCTGTTTTCCTCAAATGTTCAGAGTCCTGAATGGCTGAATATATTTTCCTTGTAGAGAATGTTTTCCGGTGCAAAACATAAGAAAAACCTAAATACCATTTTCTAGGAAAATAGAACTAATGGGACCCAAGTGGCATAGACTTCAACAATATATCATACACCTCATATTGCCCCAAAGGCCATTGAGGATACATAGCTAGCCTTTTAGTTTACATGAACATAAGGGATAGGAGAACTAAACTGGAGTACATCAAATCCATCAATAATCAACTGAGCTTGAGGTTTTATGGTAAGCAACTGGTAACAAAGAACTAGAATTCAAATGACCACTATATTTACCATATCATGTAACAAGAAATGTATCAAACTATCACCAGGAAAAAAACATTGAATTGGGAAACTACATAGAAAACTTACCATCTAGTTTGGGGCACCAAATAGAATAAGAAATTTCACCTGCAGCCTGCATAACAATTAAACAGTTATAAGTGCCATATTATGCGTTCATAAAAAGTTACTCATCTAGATCTCGAAACATGATGAATGTTTATACGAAGAGGATATGTGGTGGCAAAAAAACAGTACATAAAAAATTGTGACAGGGAAAATAGTTATTCAGATTTTAGAATTATTAATATGATAAAATCAGAATCGGAATCATCAGGAACCAGATGAAGTTTAATATAGCACATGTACAAAATAGAATTTACAAGGCAAATGAGCCACTTCTGGTGGTACATTTATGCAAAAAACTCGGAGAGCCAGAACTAAGAAACCTTGGTTTGATGCTATTTTGCAATCAGCTTCCTTTAAGGCTCGTACAAGATGTATAATACGGTTTTGGAGTTTTGCATTTTCTGCGGTGAGCTTTTGCACTTCTTTGAGACCCTGAAATCAAATCTTGATATAAATTTTGCAACCAAAATTAATCACTTAATAGGAAAAAGATCATAGTGTGCATTACAATACAAACCTTCTCTTTCTCTGCAACAAGTTCGACTTTCGCATCATCCAACTTTGCCTGGAGTTCTCGAACCATTTTTACCAATTCCTCATTATTTCCGGAACCTGTTTACAATTTCTAAATATCAGTTCCATTATAAGAAGGCTGCTCAGAATGCCGCCGGTGTTTTCAAAGTGGGGATGCTGAAGAAAGAAAGATACGTACTGTTCTTGCTCACTAGGGAGGCTTCAAGTCTTGCCAAACGGTCCTTAAGTCCACAGAAGAATCAATAAAATCAAAAGTAGAATTGCAAATATAACTTAAATACCCTCATTCCAACTTTACTATTGTATTCATTTTTTAGGTTTAATAGTTAATAGTTAATTAAATGCTTCAGACTTTCTATTAGAGACATGCTTAATCCATGTGCCTAAAGTCCTAAACCTTGGTAGATGCGTAGAGCAATAGATATGTCTCAGTAAACTCCACTCTTGTTACTGGAAGAGTCTCTTAGATAGAGTTCTCCATCACCCTTCTGCTCTTTTCAGATTGAGGTGAGCATCTAGATAAATATATAAATAGAACTACCTCCCTCTTAAAATAAAAGTTAAATTTTCCCTTTTGGTTTGTCCCAAACAAAAGTTACTTTTCCTTTTTGGTAAAATCTACAACGTACAGTTTACCCTACTTTCAAGTTAAATATACAATTCATCATTCCAACTTCACTCATTTTTCGGTGTTAGGGGAGGGCCGTGTATGTTTTTTATGCAATTCCCTTAACCCGTGTGACCGTGTGTCCAAAAGTTCTATAATTTTTATTTGGGGATGGAGGGAGTAGGAGTCACTCCTGCTAGGAACTTATTCCACATTAATTAATACAAGTGAATCACTCACCCTGATTCACTCCATTTTCCTAGCCTCCAAAATCAAGAGTAACCAGGGTGAATTTCATGTCACATGTTACATTTTTTAACTTTAATCCGAACAAGGATAAAAACAAAGATTACTGAAGGTTATCTGAACAAAATCTTAACATTTGTAAACCTATTTTCCCCTAATCTGAGTTATTGAAGTGTATTCGTTAGACTCCTCTCAAGTCCTAACTAAAGAACCTCACAAGTCAACTTAGAATTCGAAAAACTGCAGCAGTAAATTCTTTGGCTAATAACCATAATGGTAGTATCTAAATCGATGTATGCACACTGACATCTGGGAAGAGAAGAAAGGTACATATAAACATATGCTCATAATAAAACGGAACCAAAGGATAATAGTAATAATCATAGGAGGAAGAGAACCTCAGCTTCTGAAGCTCTCTGATAAAAGGGTTTCAAGGTTTCTTCAAGATTTTCTACAGCATTCGCCATGGATTATGGAAACGATCCCCCGTCCTCTGCGTTCAGACTTTTTAGAGTTCTGTGAAGAAAAAAATTTCTCGCGCTTGGTCGATCTTCGCACAAAGGTTTCAAAATGAAGACAATGGATTTTGAAAGACCATCGACGGATGCTAACAAATTTGTGGGGGAAGGTTTTGAGAATATTAGCCAAAAGATTTGAAAATTCTAATATATGATTATTATGTTTTTTTGATAATACATAATAATTTCTATCGGACTAAGCTTTCAAGCTCGTGCATAGTATGTAATTTAATTAATTTGAAATTTAATTTCTATCGGATCACATATAATGTGATTTAAAAGAAAAATAAACTTAGTCTAATATAGAGTCTCTTCGATAATACTAGAGTAAATATAATAAATTTATTTTGCTGAAATTGATTGAATTCTGGTTAAATAGATGGAATCTTCTGAATCGTGAAAAATATATGTGAAATATATTCCATTTGTGAAACAAAGAAAAAAATATATGAAAAAAAGTTAAATTGGTCTTCTACATAAGCATCTCAAGTAAACATAATTGTTATGAACCCAATAATAAAAAAATTCTATACTCCCTCCGTCCCGAATTGAATTGCAAACTTTGACCGGCACAAGGATTAAGAAATGACAATAAATGATGCTTGCTTATAACACTTTTGCCCATCTTTCTAAAAGTAGATGTCTTTAAGTTAATGGGGAAAAGTAAAAGTAAGGGTAAATTTGTCACTTTATTCTTATTTACATACCTAAAATAAAAAGTGGAAAACCATTTTGGGACAACCAAAAAAGGAAATTTTGCAAATCACATTGGGACGGAGGGAGTATTTCTTAATTGTTAGATCTTACATCTTACTCATTAATAAGAACGTTTTTAATTGAATTAAAATTTCAGGTTTGATTTGGTATGAATTAATATGATCTATTAGATGTCTGTTTTTTATGTGACTTATTGTTATAATTATTAAAGTTTGATCTGATCTGATTTAATCTGGAACTGAAATCAATCCAATTAAAAACATTATTAAAATAAAAGTAGGAATTCGTAAACCTATAAAGATTTTCTAATTTGGATTAGTAATCTATTTCAAAAGTGAAGGCATATTTGAATTTTAGGTTTAAAATAAAGAAACAACCAAAAAATTTACTTATTTGGCTAAGCTAAACATATTTACTTGTGAAAATATTTATACTTTATGTTAGTTATAATTTTTAATTTCATTTTAAATTATTTACTTATTTGAAGCTTACTAATTTATTAATAGGTGTCAAATTAATAAGTAAACTAATTTGCATATTTGTTTCTATTTAATTCGGTGTAGTAAACTAATATAAATTAGTTTCCATATCAATAAACGTTATTAGAAGTTCACTTTGATAACCAAAAATTATTTTACTTATTTGAAGCTTACCAAATTAATTAAGGTGGATTTAAAAGGATTTTTGTTTTCATATCAATATGCAATCAAAAATAGAATCTAATAAAAACAAAAGGTATAAAAATAAGTAAATAATCGTTATATATAATGAAATGTCAGGATTATGTGGCGCTTTGTATGCACTTAAAAAGATCCTCTTTTATATATATATTGATTACTGTCATGTTTTGGCAGTACCAGACTTCAAACATGGCCGTATTTTCTGAACTTGGCAGTAATTACTCCTATTTTGGGAATAAAAAATATGACAGTCCTATTTTGGAATTTTCAAACTGTTTTAGTCCTATTTTGGGAACTTTTCCGAACGTTTTTGATACACAATAATCCATCACAATCCACTAAAATCCATTCAAATAAGTAACATCAGAAATTCATAGAATGTTGGAGAACATTTTTATTTTCATGAATTCCACTGAAATTCAAATCAAAGGCACCTGGATTTTGACGAAATTCTAAACTACTACCTCCGTTCCCATTTTAACTTCCAAATGGGGTTGGCACAAAGTTCAAGATAGTGGATATTGTGTGGTGAGACACGTGCAGAGGAGAGAGAAATGTGTAAAAATGTTGTGAACCACAAATTCTTTACCAAAAAGGGAAAGTGGAAGTTTTAATTGAAACGGACGAAAAAGGAAAGTTGGAAGTTTATTTAGGAACGGAGAGAGTATATTAAAATTCTTCAGAATCCAAATAAGGAAAACCCTTGTCAAGTCCACGGTTGAATTTCTATACTAAAGTAATTAGTTTATGATTTTTCTATTTATTTCATTCTCCTCTACACAAATAGAGTTGGTAATGTTCAATAGTACCCAAGTAATACTCCTTTCGTCCCATAAAATTCTTCCCACTTTCATTTTTGGGTCGTCCTAAAAAATTCTTCTCACTTACCAGTTTTGGACAATTTGTGTGGTTCACATTCATTTCACTTTTTTCTTAAACAGCTACAACCATACATTTCCACTTTATTCCATTTTCTTAATATGTGTGTCAAGTCAAACTTGGAAGAATTTTCTGGGACGGGAAGTATATTTTTGTGTGTGCATTCATATACGGAGTACATGTCATTACTAGTTGATTGTGCGTTACCATTGAGGGGTCCATTCTTTAACATTCTAGATTCAAATGCCATTTTTGAAGTCATAGTATCAAATTATAATTCTAATTAGTCATTAGTCATTACTCATAAAATATCCACAATATAAGCTTGACAATTAACATTCCACTTGCCAACGCAAATGAGTCTCCCTGTTACGATTTAAGCAACAAAGTTCACAAACTGTCTAAAGTAGAATAAAAATAGTAAAAAAAATGTAATATTATCTCCGTCCCAGTGGACTTTGACAAGTGCAAAGTAGGTGAAAAATAAGAATACTAAAAACTGTGTGGTTGAGATTTGTGCAGAGGAGGAAGAAATGTGCAGAACTACAAAATAGTTGCTTTAATAGGAAAGTGACAAAGTTTTTTGGGACAACAAAAAAAGGAAAGTTCACAAAATACAACTGGATGGAGGGAGTATATCTTTAATATAATTAATAATAAGGCCAAACGAGTCTCTCACTTCTAAGCAAATACTTGATATAACTTGAAAAGTATACAGTATTTGATATATATCGAATTTCAAATCTACAATGTTTCATTTTTTGTCTTGGCTATCTCATATGCCTCCATCCCCCTAGGGCCTGGGATGACATTAGCACAACCCTTGCTTAGTTCCTTGTGCAAGAAGCGAACCTAATGGGTCGGCTTCATGACGGAACACAGTGTTCCAAATAAGAAGTTGTTAATTTACTTTATCTTCCAAATCAGGACTCGATACTCAAAGGGCCTAGAGTAAATGTTGCAATTGAGACAAGGTAGACTTATATAGATTAGATCCGCATAACCATAATATTGTTTGAAAAAATCAAAGCGAACTACTATGATCATATAATAGTAATTTTTACTTGATAAGTATTACTACATTCGTTCCCAAAAGAAGTTCTCACTTCTCTTTAATGGATATCCCAAAAAAGAAGTTTTTATTTCTATAAAAGGAAACAATTTTTAAACAAAAAGTCACATTTATTCTTATTGTTTATCTACTTTTTACTTGATTTGACATAAACTAAGAGCATACATGGAAAAGTCAAAACAAAACTCTATCTTATATAAATGTGTGTGTGAATAGATTCACTTGTTTGCGTAAGCACATAGATTCACTCTATTTTCAAGAAATTGGACTCAAAATGAACACTGATGATTATTACAAAGTGCCCTACTTAATCGAAACCTCATGTTCAACAACTTCAACTGGAATTTTATAACCAGGAAATGGAATCTTTTATTGCATTTGTCTCTAAACTTTAAAAAAAAAATGAGAACCTCAATTTACTAAGGAAATAAAGAAATTGAATGATAGCTTTGAAACGTACGGAGTATGAAAATGAAAGAGTGTGAAAATTATCATGAACATAGAGAATAGAGAAGGTTATTGTTCTAGTTCTATGGAATGGAGGATGGAAAATTGGAAACCAGAAATTCTGATTCCAGAAGTGAAATCCCTTTAATACATTGTGTAAAAAACCGAAACCGTAATCATCAATCCTACAGAAATACAGAATGGCTATAGTATTAATATCAAGGTTCTTGGTTGTTTGGAACCAAACTGTGTCCAGATCTATGTTGCAATATGCAAACGTTTTCATATTCAATCTTTATAATGTGGATGGAATTTGAACTGGTGGTATTTGATGGAGCTAATTAAAGAAGTGTTCTCTTGCTGTTGTATTTTGTCTTTTTTACCATAGCTATAAGTTTAGCTTCTAAATAATCCACCAAATGTGCGTTTTTTCAAACTAAAGTTTACGAAAAAATGCTAATCCAAACAGGCATCAAGACATACATATGCAAGTTCTCATGATTATTTATATAGTTTTTGCATAGGCAGAAGAACCCCTCCATTCCTCAAGGGTGTCCAAGGAGGGAAGGCTTGTAGAAAGCACCGCTTTGTGCAATCTCTATCCGATCACGGGGATCATTCAAGTTTTCATCCCTTAGTGCTTGGAGAATAGCTTGCACCTTTTCTTGCCTGAGCTTACAAAAACAATAACAAAGTCAGAGAATAATACAAGGGGCTGTTTGATTCATGTAAATTTGCAAAGAAATACTATAAATCATCCACAAGGAATTAGGCCAAAAGGTAATTAGAAGTGATTTACCTTGTTATAAGTATTTTGTACAACGTTTTCAGAATGGGGCAAAGCTCAACCGGAGCAACTGGCTTGTTCTCCCCAGGATGCAACACACTTAAGCTGGATTGACTTAGAAGTTCATAAAATGCTCCTACAGCTGAAACTCCCTGACAGATTTGGTTGGGGTGGAGTTGGTGCCAAACACAGGTTAAATTAAAAAGATGTATGTTGTGATGAGAACATATAAATGTATATTGTGCTAAATCTCATCATTGGGGTTCATGGCCTTAAATGCCCGGTTAATTATATGTAATTTGTTTTGTTTTATGTACTCCGTATTAGATTAGACTAGTCTTCTACACAAGTAGGATTAGCTGTATGGCTCTATATTTGTATAAAAAGGACTTGTCAATGCTTAGTTTCAAAATCTTTGCGAAATTATTCTTCCAATTCTTTTCGAGATTCTCAGAGCCATTTCTACTTGAAGTTAAATAAGCAGAAACAGCATATAAGAGCCGATCAAACCTTAAAACCTAGGTAATAAGATTAGACAGTACATTAAAGTTCTTTCTTATTGGACGATAGGTAGGACATGCCCCTTCAAGGTGACAAGGTGTTATGTCATCGTACATCAACCCAATATAAAATACTGACCTTTGAAGGTGGGACTGCATGTCTTAATAGAGATTATTAATAAATTTAAATAGATAAGCCTAACTAGCCAAACTACATTTAAGTGTCAGAGTATGAATTTCAGACTTAAAACATATACAAAGCATGAATGTCTCTTGAAAGAAAGGACTCCAGTTTGGTTTCAGGTGTAGATGCAATGAAGCAATCTCTCAATTTGCTTGAAGAATCAGAATAAAGAATACCTGAATTGTCCCTTTGCCACTTATGCTGTCTCCCAGATCCAGACTGAGTTCTCCCTTAGCAATCATTTGGCCATACCAAGAATTGCGTCCTTTCAGCAGTGTCACATATGTGTCAGCAAGCAGCGGCCCAGCAAGCCTTTCGGGTTCTTCAGTCAATAAATGGGTTATAAATATCATTTCCGAAGTACAGTGAGCAAAATATACTGATTTACTAGTAGCACTTTCATTAGTCAGAGAAGCCACCATTCCTGATAATAATAATAATAATAGCCAAATTCAAAACACATGTCACAATCATCCTTGATCCTTCTACAGAATTTGTATATGCACTCATTTAACATACTGAGAAAAATAAAGGCTTACCAGCTCCAATGGCATAGACATTTTTCAGACCTCCCATAACTTCATGGGTAACAAGGTCACTATTATCCCAAACAATGAAATGGGGTTGCCTCAAGAACTTTGCAAGGGGTTTTCTCCATTTCTCTGACCCACATATCCGAGCATTAGCATATTCCTTGTTGTAGATCTCTGAGGCAATATTTGGGCCACCGAGATAAAGAATATTCTCTATTGGTACTCCAGCTGCCAAAAAAATTATTACACTCTTAGCAAAATCTACAAATTTTTTATTCTATAAGGAGGGGTCCTTTTACACAAAGTCACAAACCCTATACGGTTCCGGTCATAAAGGTAAGTTTGTATAAATGATTTTGGAGGTCTTGATATATAGTTGAGTTTTTGGGGGGAAAGTTATATTAACACAATATGTGATCATATAAAATTTTAACGACTTGTATTTATTTTTAGAAAGACTTTATTTATCAAGAACTCAAGAAACAGAATAATCTATCCAAACCAGTCCATCCAAACAGATGCTAATGGGCTACTGCTACAACATTAGATGCAATGGAAGTATATGATTAAATTTCTTAATTGGATCTGGTTCACTCACCTAGATCATAACACATAAGTCAAATCATAATAAAAGATTGAATACAAATGATTGATTAGTCCAACCCAATGCCATATAAAGTCATATGTCACTCTAATATTTCAATGTACTCTTAGCCGCACACATGAATCAAGCAATATACAATAGCAAAGATGTTTTTATAGAGGGATAGGTAAAGACTTACTTGCTCGGTTTATCATTTGGGTGGGTGTAATTATACGAGGAAACGGATCTAATTCAGCTTCAATGCCCTTAGCCAAAGAGATAATAATTGGGGCAGTCAATCTCTCTTTCCAGTACTCACCAATCTTCTCAAACACTTCACGGGTTTCAGTTGAAGGTAACCCATTGACCACTATATCTGCATCCCAGACTGCCTCCTGCAAGTTGGTTACAACCTTCAAGGGACAAAGTGGGGAATCAATCATGTTCAAGCAAAACCCGTCTTTCAATATTTCATCAGCATATAGTGTCCGGTCGCCCAACCTTGCCTCCACGTATTTCAAATACGCACAACGCCTAATCAGCCTCCTCAACACGTCCTCTCTTGAGTTGATAACCTCAAACAGGTGTTTGGCTGTGTCTCTATCCACAGCCCTCCCTGCCCTTCTCCATATCCGAATTTGGACCTTGTCGCGAAAAGGACCATAACTGTCCTGAAGCAATGCAACAAAAACTGCACCCCAAGCCCCGGCCCCCACCCCCACTATCCTCAGCAAGTCACCATCGGACTTTCCTATTTTTTGTCGGATTTCATCTAGTTTTTCCTCCAAGCCGTTTGGGTGGTTATTGGGTACACCCATATCTGTTTGGAATGTGACCAAACCCAAATCCACAAATCTTCGAGGCTGACTATTAAGAATAATTTTGAAAGATCAAAATTCACTTCACCGATTTTTTAGGCGGCTCAATGCTTTCCTCTTACTCTCCCCCTCATCAATGGGTTCTTGAATAGAAAATGAAGCATATAACTACGAAAAAACTGATGAAGAATCCCAAATCCAAAATAAATGAGTTTATCTCAAATGCAATAAAAATGTAATCTTTCCTTCTCCCTCATCGATTCTTGAAGTCTACTGTGATAGCACAACCTCAAAACCTATGCAAAAGAAAAGAAAATCATATCTTGTAAGGTAAGCAATATTCCAGATGTGGGATAATCTGACAGAAATTCTACCTGAAATCAACCAGAGCTGGTGATTTAAAATGCTAATAGTAAAAGACAAATCTCAGCATTGTAGTGTCCGCCTGAGGTGGTTCATCTACCCAGCACAAAATAGTTAGTTCACAAGCAGAATAAAGGAAGGGATAAATAAATGGGAAAAGGAGAGTGACAGAAAACAAACCTTGACCGACCTTTGATTGAGTCAATATAGCTGGAAAATGGAAACCCATCAATACATTGTACACGCCAAGAGAACACATAAGAGTTGCATGACGATGTACGAAATGAACCGAAGTGAGTTGAGTTGTTGACCCTGCTTCTTGACAAAAGTGGCCAATTTGCGATTGTTAACTTGCGAGTTCTCAAAAATCTAAACCAAGTTATTTTACCCGTATTAAGGAATAAACAAATAGGCCCCATGTTTCGTGCCTATTTAGTTTTGAATTCTTTATTACGGATGGATATATTCCCTCTCTCCCCACATAACTTAATCACTTTATAGAATCCGTTTGATAATCATATTTTTAATAGTGTTCTAAAAATCGTTCTAATTACGGATGGATCGACCAATTTCCGCCTAGACCTCTAGCAATGGTCAGACGTCTCGATTTTAGTCTAGACGATCCGACTAATTGATTTGACGTCTTAGTGAACTAGTCGATCGTCTAAGGCGTCTAGTTGCCCTTCCAGAGCACTTAATCGGTCACCTAAGTGTCTATATTTATTAAATATTTTATATTTATTTTTTTAGTATTCTAAGAGATATATGTACCTTTAACTTTAACAACGCATATGAAGAAAATTACTACTTGTAGATTAAGATAAAAAGTATACAAGTTTATATATAATCTTAAGTGTTATTATTATTTAATAATATTTATTACATAATGAAGTTAAGCGAGTAGGTATATTATATTATTAGGTATGTCAACTCTATCATTCATGCATTTTAATACTCTCTCCGTCCTAAAAAGGTTGCTTTTTTATCAATGACAATCAACTTTATTTGAACAATGATATTTTTTAATACGACATTATTTAGAATATGAAAATTGTATCACAATGTTCCTTATTCAAAATACTTTCATAAAAGTGTAAAATTTATAAATCATATACAAATATAATACTCCCTCCGTCCCATATTTATCTCCTGAAGTACAAATGGCACACAGATTAAGATAGTGGGAAATGTGTGGTGGAGAGTTGTGCAGAGGAAAGAGAAATGTGTAAGAATGTGTAAGAATAGTTGTGAACAACAAATTCTTTGCTAAAAAGGAAAGAGAAGATAAATTTGGGACAGACCGAAAAGGAAAGTATGAAGATAATTCCGGGACGGAGGGAGTAATTAAAAGCATTGTCCAAAGTTTTTTATCATTGACCAAGAAAAATCAATATGACGAACTTTTTCGGGACGAAGGTAGTATGTATGTGTGTATATATTTTTTATACGCACACAAACACAACATTACTAATCATACTTATGTAAAAATATTGATGAAACTATAATTTCAATGTCTCTGACTAGTCCCCGCCTAGGCACTGGGCTGACGCTCAACTAGCGTCTAACACCTTTTAGAACATTGTTTTTAAGTTTATCAGTTTTATCAATCAACTTTTTTACCTAACACGTAAGTTTTGATTTTGCACGCGAAATAATGTAATATCAAAATAAGTAATGCTGGAGATACTTTTCTGGTTGAATTAACTGAAACTACCGTAGATGACCATTTTTGTTATTTTCATATGGATCGAGTATAGCTTTTTCTTTATTCTATTAATAAAATATATTTTGAATATAATTTTTTCGTAGTTCACCAGAATCAGCCAATCCAGTCACTTCAACCAGAACTTCATAAATTTCAGTAGAATCAACCGATTCAGCAAACTTCAGTATTATCAAACCGTCTCTTAACTTTTTTTGGTTAATAATAATAAATTTTGGAGGTTGAGTTGTTATACTTGTGTGAATCTTATAGCTTTTATATTTATATGAAAGTACTTTTAATAAACAACATTTTTATAGAATTTCCATATTTAAAATAATTTCTTGTTAAAAACATATATTTGGTCAAACTTGGTCAGGAAATGTCAACATGATCAAGTTTTATGAGACAGATGGAGTATCATTCTTTCAAACAATATTAAATTGAATCGAAACTGTGCAAAACTGAATAAACCGACCCATAAAATTAGATAAAATATTCATAATATCGAGGGGTGTAGCTCACCTGGTAGGAATAAAGGAGTGCCACATGAGAGAGATCTCGGGCTCAACTCCAAACAAAGACTCGTTATGAGCATCACTCTCTTTTCATTAGTGTAAGATCAAAACTCAATTTACATCCTCTCAGATAACTGTCTGGTCGATTCTGTGGGCCCTCATGGATGGGATGTCATCCTTTATTTTAGATAAAATAGTCATATATTTTTAAAAAACAACACATTCAAACTGAAAAAGCCAAATTCAGGTTGCGATTGTGCACTAATACTACATTATTATTGGAGTTCTATCACTTTAGAACATGAAAGATGAAATGTATTGATACAAGAGTCGAATGATTGAAAACTATCATCTAAAACCTAAATTTTCATGATTATTATTATTATTATTTTTAAAATGTAAATACTATTTAGTTGTGTTAAACTAATAAACTTTTGTAAAGAAAAATCCATCAAAAATCAGCAACAGAATTAACAAAGATTTAATAAATCAAAATGTATGATATTTTAGGTATTTTGATTGATAGTTTTTCAATCTTTCGACTCATATATCGACACATTATAACTTTCAGGTCGCGAAATTAAAAGTTTAAAAATATCTATTTGATGAAAAAGATAAATAATACAATTCAAATCGAAAACATTGTCACCAAACCGCTGTTGAATCTTTTAAAAGGCCCTCTTAGATCAAATGATTCAAATATGAACCGACGAAGAATCGATTGGGAAGAAAGGATCCGATGTAGCGCGCCCACAATTTAGTTGAGGAGGAATGCAATGAAGGTGCCACACTCATATATTAATGATTTGATGAGTTGTCAACCGCCCTTCAACGGTCATTAAATTTGGCAGCTAGGTACTCCGTATTTGCTCACTCACTCAATTAGCCTTGCTTACTTCACTCCGTTTCAAGTTGACTTTAACTAGTTTCTAATACGTAGTAATTAAGAACCTACTAGTCGAATAATGATAAAAGTATTTATAAGAAATCCAAAAAAGAAATAGAGCTCGTCTGGTGAGCCATTTTTTCGTCTTATCAGGGTTATCAGCCAGATTTTTCACCAAACACGTAACTTTTGATTTCGCGCACTGAATTTTGTAATAAGCAGAAAAAGTAAGGTTGGAGTTGCTTTTCTGTCTGTATCGGCTGAAGTTACTGTAGAAGACCATTTTAGCTATTTTTACATATAATTTTTTCTTTATTTTATTAATAAATATATTTTAAATTTAATTTTTTCATGAATCAGTAAAATCAGCCAATACAGTCACTTCAGCCAGAACTTCATAAATTTCAGCAGAATCAACCGATTCAGCCGATTTCAATGTTACCAAACGGGCTCATAGTCTCATAATGTATGGAAGTTTTAAAGGAAAACTAGTTGACACTTGACAGCCTAAAAACAAAAGTTGATAAGTAAAAGCCGGTCCTAGGGAAATCCTCGGCGGCCATCTCTGATCTCCTTTAAAATTTGATCTTGTAGCATTGTCTTCTTCATTCGGTAACCCACTTGGAAGATTGTGACATTCTCTGGACTGTGAAGGATCGAATCAAATATTTTTCTATGTTGCCGCTCATTTTTAATTTTTATTTTCGAAGGTTTTAGTACGGCTTCTACAATGATCGAGAATTTTGTCCCCTTCAGGTGAGCGTGTTGTATGTTATTCTTCTAGCAATGTCTAGATTTGTGTTTCTCATTGGTGTAATTAATTTGGTGAATTTTCGTTGTTCATGGTTTGCAAAGCTTTTTTAAAGCTTGTTCATGGTTTACAAGGCTTGGTGTTAGGCTTCAATAACTTGCCCTCCACCTGAATCACCGTCTCGCTTTGGGAAGAAGAAAACGCTCATCTCGATCTCCTTTTCGGATGTTGGTCAAACCGATGATTCAGAAAGTTTCTACTAGGCTGAATTTCCTTTGTTGGTTGTTGGTCAAATACATTATCCCTTTCCGGAGGTTGGTGAAGACGGGATTCTTAATTTAATTTGATTCCTTTCTAGTTTGGACAATTTATTTTCTTTCTATTTCCTTTTGAGTAGCAACTTCAGCAATGCTGTTAGATTAATCTACATAGTTGCGGGATTAGCGAATTTGTTTGGTCCTGGTCATCCAATTCTATGTGACTATGACTCATCCCAGTGTAGCCTCGAGTTATTGTATTGCTTTATCTCTTGTTACTTTTATCATTAATAAATAAGTTTTCTTTTTATTAAAAAAAAAAGAAATTCAACAAAGAATATAATGAAATGAGTTATTATACATATAAAATATATTCTTATACTCCCTCTGTTTCACATTGAGTTGCAAAATTGATTTTTTTTATCAAATAGATTCATTTTTTTTAAAACTTAATTAGAATATTATCAATTGAAATTTGTAACTTTATAGAGATTTTAATTTAGCTTCTGAATATGTAAATTTTAATTATAGCCTTACTCTACAGATAAGCTAAAGTTAGTGTTTATAGGCAAATTATACTGTGGGATCGGCGGACCATGCTCATGGTGTACCTATCCCAAAACGGTATCGTTTTTTAATTAAACAAATAGCAAATCGTAGGTCTTGCACCAATGAAATACAGAGTTCATCAATTTAGTTTGGCTCCACATCTGGAATTGCTTGGCCCTGATATTCGTCCTCGTTGTGCATCTGGAACTGTTGTGCTTCTGCTATGCATCGCAACAGTAGGTTTCCACCCTCTCTGTAATTGTTATGCATCTGGGAGCGCCGCGCCGGAACAGTAGTCAATTCCTTGTTACTCCATATCCGCATCAAAACAGTAGCTTTCCAACCATGATCGTTCCATCTCAAATCGAAATTGTATGTTGTTCTCCTAACTTCCTGTTGTCTCGCCCGGAATCCATCCCTGATCGGATGACGAGGTTCACTCGGCGGAAAACTCCTCCATTTAGACTGCATGAGTTTAATCGCATCTACATTTATTTTTTTTGTTTTGAAAGATAGCATCTAGGACTGTATTCGTTATACCAAGCATATGGAGTATGTATATTTAATAAACAAGTATACTTTTGTTTGGGCTCAAGTTACATCTCTATTAAAACAACTTACATTCCATTGGGTTCAAGTTACATTTAAATTAATCTGGTTTACATTTTTTATTTAGCTCGAGTTACATTTCTCAAGTTACATGTTACATACCCTCGATTTACATTTCCATATGTTTAAAGTTACATTTTATAACATGCGGTTTACATTTCACATATGAAAAGTGATAGAACTACTAGAGGGAGTAACATGAGTTACATTTGTGGGCACAAGTTACATTTGTTGTTAACTGAAATTACATTTGTAGCAAAGCGAGTTACATTTATGAGAGAACTATCAAATAAGCCCTCGAACTTTCATAAAAAGTGCAAATAAGCCCTTTTATGGGAGGATCTGTCCGGCCATCGCCATTTGGGCCGGTTTCTGGTGGCATTTTTTGATGAAATGTTTTGAGTATCTTCTTCATTAAGTCTAGTTTATTCATACCAAATTTCAGCTAAAAATTCAATCGGGAAGTCAGTCAAATGAATTTTTGAAGATAACTGCGCAATTAGACAGCACAATATATAAGCCTTCAACTTTTTTTAAATTTTACATATCCAATATTGATGTGTCAAATGAAAGATAAAAAAAATTATGAATTATGTTATATTTTTTATAAAAAATGGAGCAAAAACGAAAAAGTTATGGGCGTTAAAAGAAAAAGGGTGATTTTACTATCATGGGTCCCATACTAATATAGATTATACGGAGTATTTGTTGTTGTTCTGGCCTTAAATCCGTTGTACAGCCGGTTGTACCGTGCGCACGGTACAGTCGGGCTTTTTTAACCTTTCTGCGCTTCTCGCCCTCACGCAAGCTTCGCTCTAGACCTTCGCACCAGACCTTCACACAGGATTTCGAAGACGTTTTCGCACCAGATTTTGCACAGGACTTCGCATCTTGCTTATTCAATCTCATTGGGCCTCTTCGATCTGATTTTGCACCAGCAGTTCGTCGCCAAAGTTCACCACTCGCCTCCTTCTTCACCCTACTTACCTACTCACCTCTCCTCCCTCTGTATTTCTTTCTGGCGTAGTTGTCGGTGTAGTTTTACTGTTTCAGCATGTGATTTTAGGAGACAATGGAAGTCTACTTCGTGGCTGTGGAATCCTTGTTGTTGTTAATCTCAATTGAGTTTTACATTAAACTCAAATGAGTATACGTCTAAAAGGAATGAACATATACAAATGAGTACAACGTTCAAAATGTGAGCATACACAAATGAGCTTTTGAAATTTTTGATACTCATTTTGTAAGTTTTAAATACTCATTTGATACCACTTTATACTCATTTTAAAATATTGCACATTTCAAACGTATTCTAGTACATTAGATTCACATGTTGAAAAATAATTAAACAAAAGTGAATTGGAAGATAGGGAGTGTTCTCTGATGCTCATTGGTGGGCTCCTAATACTAAAAAAAACAAACCTAATGCTCACCAAATTTGCATCAATACTCATTTTAGGGAATCCGTATTTTTCATCAAAATTACAAAACTACCACCGGTTGTATGGAGGGCACCGTACAGCCGGTTGTATAGTATACACTTCCTTGTTCTGGCCTTCTTGATTCTTACTTCTGCGTGAGAAAGTCGCCATTCCATTTGGCGACTTCAAAGTCGCCACTTGGTTTGGCGACTTTAGTCTACCATGGTTGAACCCAGCAGTATTTTTATAAACAGTTTTACCCCGATCCTAATTTCGTAAATAGTTTTTTATTTAACAATAACTCAGAAAAACTCTCTCTCTCTCTCTCTCTCTCTATTACGTAGTTAATTCGTATATATATATGAATATATATATATATATATATATATATATATATATATATATATATATATATTCATATTTATATTTATATTTATATTCATATTCATATTCATATTCATATTTATATTTATATTTATATTTATATTTATATTTATATTTATATTTATATTTATATTTATATTTATGTTTATATTTATATTTATATTTATGTTTATATTTATGTTTATATTTATGTTTATATTTATGTTTATATTTATGTTTATATTTATATTTATATTTATATTTATATTTATATTTGGGGCAGTTTCTGGTGGATTTGTTTCATAAATTTTTTTGAGCATGTTCCCCATCATGTCTAGTTTATCCACAAAATATTTCACATAACAATTCAATCAGGAAGACATTCAAATAAATATTTGAAAATAACTGTGTTTTATATGTATATTTTAGCGCAGTTATCTTCAAAAAGTATTTGAGTGCCTTCCCCAATGATTTTTTAGCTTAAATTTTTGTATGGATAAACTAAACTTGATAAGGAACTTGCTCAAAAAATTTCATCATATAATTCCACAGTGAACCGCTCCAAACGGTGGCGGCCGAATGGAGCATCTTGTCCCTCCGGCTCGACAAGTCCATTCCTAATATATATACTTTGTATGACATATTTGACCTGTTTGGAAATGTTTTAAAACATAAGCATAACCCAACTTTTTTATTTACTTTAAACATGCTACCGATGCTGCAGCTATGATATGTTATGCATGTATTTCTTAACAGATAAATATATATAATGAAATAATGGAAGATCTAATTACTATAAAATTGGAAAACATGTTATTAGTGTAGTTATAAGAATCTATGTCCAAAAACAATAGCGCAGCTAGTGTGAAAATTGACTTAGAAATTTAGTACAATAAATATCACTGTTAGAATTGCATATATTAAAATTTTAAAATATTGTATCATAAGATGAAATTTCATCTTTATCCACTGTCGGAATTGCATATATTAAAATGTCATATGATTGAGATTTTATCACACTAATTTTAATTTGGAGATGTAAATGTGTATATACTATTTATTTTATGAAAATAATTATTTTTATTTTATATATATAATTACGTAGTATATGTTTATTACGGAGAAATATGTAGTATTAAATTTTTACCTACAGTTGAACGGGTTAGCTTGCATGGGCCTGGGTTGACCCATGACCCAATTGATCGAGTAGTAGTTTAAATATTCCCCAAACAGGATTTTTTCAGTAATCGAACAAAAATGCCCCTGCATGTACCCAACCCATTGTTGTCCATTGCTATCGGAGCTACTCTGTCGCCCGCCGATGACATCCAAATTCCAAGTCTGCCTGCCATTATCGCAGGACGCCGTTGTCAGTCATCGTTGCCGTCCTTACCACCACCAGACTGCCCCACCACCAAAAGACTACTTCAACTATCCAAGAGAACTAGGAGATAATTAATTATACTCGTTCCGTCCCAAATTCACTTGCAAAATTGATTTTTGGGTGAAACACATTCATTTAATTCAATGATTTAGGATATCAATTCTTAATTAAATTTTAATTTGGATTTGGTAAATTTAGAGATATTTTAATGTAGTCTCTAAATATCTAAATTTTAATTATTAAAAATGAAATAAATTATCAATAGGTACGATTTAAATTTAAAAATTGTTAGACAAAGAAATGTCAACTTTCTCTGCATACTTGGTTTAGTCCTACTTATAGTCAATTATTTATTTCAATTTTAGGAAGGATATTAGGGCTACATATAAATTACTTGTTTGAGTCCTATTTAGTCAATTACTTATTCCGATTTTACAAAGGATTATGATGTTAGTGGTATAAATTACTTGGTTAAGTTCTACTTAGTCAATGACTTATTCCGATTTAGGCAATTAATCATAAATATAAGAGTTAGATAAGGGCGGCAGACTCAATTAAGAATTAAGAGTTGACTGACGACGGAGAAGGCCGGAGGAATCTAATTATATTCCGGCGACTCAATTATATACGGTATAGTAGTATTTCATATATATCCCATTCATCATTCCTGTCATCGATCATGCTTATATATATGACGAAATTCCAAAAATACAACTCCCCTGGTCGGAAGTGGGTAATCCGACTAGGAGTATAGTATTCCAATAAACTGTTCATGAGCTAAAATTGAATTATGTATTATTTTTGTAAATAAATAACACCAATAAAAAACAATAAACTTGCTACTTTATTGGTGTTGATGAGCTAAAATTGAATTCTCTCATTATTTATGTAATCATATAATATTTAATGTTGTCTGTGACATAGATAATATTTAATCATATAAATTATAATCAGATAAATTTAATCAGATAAATTTAATCAGATAAAATTTAATCAGATGATATCAATCAATTAAAATTTTATCAAATAAATATAATCAGATAAATTTAATCCGATAAAAAATAATCAGATAAAAATAATCAGATAAAATTTAATTATATAAATATCAACAACATCCAAGCCTTCATTCCAAAACAATTTGGGGTCGGCTAACATGAATCGATCAATGATATCGATGCTTTAATTATATAAATATAATCTGATAAGTTTAATCAGATAAATTTAATCAAACAATATTTACTAAATATTTACCCCGAACGATGAAGACACAACGGGGTTTGGAACACTGGCGGCGGGGACATAGCAGGGCCGATCACCCACCTATCGTAGAGTGACTGTGGGTGGGGGCTCTTCTATGTGTCTCGCCAAGAACATCACATATGTCATTATATGTAGTATTAAATTTATTATTGTGTGCACATATTTATTTATAAATTACATTGAAATTACATTTGTTTTGTTCACTTTCGTTGAAATTTCAAAAATTGCATTTTAAACAAAATCAAATTTGTATTTCATTTTATGAATTTAATTCGCAATAAGGATGATTAAAACTAACCAATGTTTTGTTATTCATAAAATCAAACTATATATTTTTCATTTAAAAAAATTATGACAACATTACTTTTGAAACTCAGAAATACAAATAAATAGATAAACTTAACATTATTGGAAAAAATTAAACTTAACATTATTGAAAAATAAATAAATAGGAGTAAAACTTAACATTAAAACTCAAAATTACAAAGGCATTCATAATAAATTGGTGGGATTCATGAATTCCGACAAGGTTTGTAATAAAAAAATAAAAATCAGTTCGGATTTGTTAAATGAAATACTTGGAAATACTTAAAACGATTAATATACACTTCCATTATTTGGAAAAACTTGTTATGAGGGTTTTCATGAGTCCTACACTCCTACTTGGCCTGGGATTAATAAGCCATGCATCCTCCTACCGGAATTAGGAAACAAAGATTTTCGGTAACAACAACTTTAGGGCATAAATTAAATATATAGGAAGTCTATAAATAAGCTGAAGCTAAGCTAAGGGTTAATTAATTACGGCATCATTATATTATATCATACTCCGTATTATATTTTCAACTTAATTAATTGAAGTGCCATTTAGTTTGTGGTTTGATCCATAAATATTACAGAGACGACGATAATGGAGGAGCATCAATACACCACCACTTTTATCCTTAGCGAAGACGATGCAGCTTTGACAGCTACATGTGGTGCGGATTCGAGGCGTCATTGCCACGTCCACTTCACGTACGAGATTGTCGGACTGGAGTCGTACGAGGATTCCCACACCTTGTGTGTCTTCAGCGACTTGCTCCACGCGCCAGAGGAGCAACGTCATGACCTTTTCTGGGAGGAGCTCGCGACAATATGGCCCATCGACGACGAAGCCATCATCCACTCCATCGCAGACGCCGTCATTGCTCGGGTCGCCCTGCAGTCCGTGTCGAGCGTTCGGGTCGACATACGCACCACCGCCTACGATGAGGTTTACGACGACGCCTTGGATAATTTTCCTGCTGCGGCGGAGCCGGTGGTTTCGCTGGAAGTGATCCAGATGTCACTGAAGAGGAAGAGAGTGGAGGAGTGCGGCGAAGAGGGGGTGGTTTGCTCCATTTGTCTCGACGGAGTGTCGTCGGGAGCGGAGGTGGCGGTCATGCCCTGCAACCATTCTTCATTTCACTTGGATTGCCTTTTCACTTGGTTGCACAGAAATCGCTCCTGTCCTCTCTGTCGTCGCCAGATTTCCGTCTGTGATTCTTGATACGATCGAGCTAGTAGCTTACACATTATCTACATGCAGGGCTTAGTGCTTACGCAACCAAATTGTTAATTCTTCTACAAAATTAACTTTTTTATCATCATTAATACCATGTACAGTTTTGTTTAATATAATCATTAAGGGCTTTATTTTATTTCTATTAATAGAGAATTTCTTCATGATATGTGTATCGATCTAGGTGATCATTGATCAAGTCTGATCATCATTTACCCTTTAACAAATTATTATTACGAAGTATTATGTGCTTATCAGTTATCAGAAGAATAATATGCATTCTTTTGAAATTAATTTGTCATTTATTTTTTTAACCCACAAGGTAAACCATTAAACCACCAGAACCCGTATTTGGCATAAATATTGGGTGTCAATTTAATAATGCAAAAGTTTATCATTTCTTTTATATATAAATATGTGAATATATGTGGATTCAAATAAAAAGTGCTTCTTAATTAGGTGAAAAATATATACTAGTCTTGATCATTGATGTGAAAAAATGGATAGAAGAGATCAAATTTCAAATTAAAATTGCGGTGATGTTTTTGTAATTATGAAAAAAAATTAATAATAATATTGTGACCAATGTGTGTGCACGACAATATATACGTAGTATAAAAATGTACACGAGGAGCACAAAAGCGCATTACAATACAAAATAAGCAACTCAATATTATTTGTATTTTTTTTAATCCCGGAGGCAAACCACCAAAATCAGTGGGGCAAATGCCGGGGAACATTTGCCGTGTTTTATTAATAATCAAAAGAATACAGAGAAGAGGGGGACCAAACCAAAACCTCTTCAAGGAGGGCATACCCTCACAGAAAAACAACGAAGGAAAGAGAAAAAAAAAATTGGGGGGGGCTAGACCTGACCCAAAGAAAAATACACGTGAAACACAAATCAAACTCACAGCCTAATCGAGGGAATACCGAACTTGTCCATGATATAAGCTTTCCGGATTGGATCTGGCAGATCTGCAATAGCATTAAAAATGATCAGTTGGGCTTCGTGAAGACGGGCTAGTTTATCCGCCGGCCCGTTCGTTTCTCGCCAAGTATGCCTGAAAGTAACCCCTTTCCTATTCGCATCCAGCAACATTTCCTGAATGGGAACCCTCCATCTCCCCCGGTAAGGTTCCACTAAATGACCCAGAGCAGCCATAGAGTCGGTTTCCACCTGGAAGGAGGAGAAACCAGCGTCCATCGCCCACCTCGTAGCAAGAATCACCCCCCTAATTTCAGCCTCAAGCACGGAATTTGCCTGAAGAGGAAAAGACATTGCGAAGATGAAGAGCCCTTCTTTGTTTCTCATCATCGCACCACCGAAGGCACCTTGAGGTGAGTATGAAGCATTTGTGTTTAATTTCAGTGTATGAGGTTTTTGTCATTTGATGAATCTAGGGATTGTGCCCGTTAGTCGAAAGTCAGGAGGAATCAGCTTCTCTTCTATTAAAATGTTCCCAATCACCCGAAGCTTAATCCTACTGAAGCTATAAGCCCAGTTCTGGGTAAAATTTTTAATTTGAGCTATAAGAGTACCAGGTGTAGGAACCCTATTTTCAGAACCCCATATTAAGCCAGAGTAAGATTTCCAGAGATGCCAACATATAATACCTGGTAAATTATGTTTGAACAAGTCTAAGACAGATTTGCTCCCAGCTTGTAGCCACCAGTTTATAAATAATTGCCTCAGGTTATTATCAAAGCTCAAATTAGGAATACCACAAATTTTCATGAAATAAATCCAAATTGGCTGAGCCACTTTGCATTTAAAAAGTAGGTGGTTCATAGAGTCGGCCTGGACTCTACACATAGGGCAAATGGAAGGGTTAAGCACCAAATGAAACCTGTTAAGATTATCAGTAGTAGGCAGGATGTTATTAAGGATTTTCCATTGAAAAATCTTAATATTCAGAGTTTGTTTAGGATGCCAACAGTGTTTAAAGGAGAAAGTGGAGCCCTTTTCAGTTCTGACCAGTTGGAAAGCACTCTGAAATGAAAACATGCCATCCTCTTCAGCAGACCACTGTAAGTCACCATGTTGATCAGTTTCACAATAATAAGTAGCTTCAGGATTAATATTGCAAATCCTCCTCCAAATAGGTGAGTCATAGACCTTAGGAATCATATTATCACCCCTAGGATATTTAGCACTAAAAAATTCTGACCAAAGAGAGCCACCTTTCTTCCATTTCCACCAGAGCTTCAAAGAGAAAGCTTTTTCCACCTCCTTAAGTGATCTGATGTCCAGCCCTCCTTCTTCAGTAGGTAAGCATAGATCAGACCATTTGATCCAATGATATTTAGGTTTATTATTTGAGACTCTCCAAAAGAAAGAAGCCATTTTCTTTTCCAGAATTCTAACTGTTTTCATTGGTAGGATGTCAGCAGCCAAGAGATGCAATGGGATAGCACTGAGGACATGTTTAATCAGGATAAGACGACCCCCCTGAGAAAGATTCTTTTTCTTCCAAGGGGTAAGCTTAGCATCAAATTTGTTAATGAGATCCAAGCAATAATTATGTCTGTTAATACCTTTATGAAGATTAACCCCTAAGTATTTGATAGGCAACTCTGTCTTGTGCATGCCCAACAAATTCTGAATAATATGACCTCTTGCCCCACTATGTTTGCCACAAACGAAAGAGCTTTTGTCAAAATTAACAGTTTGACCCGAAGCCCTTTCATAAGACCTTATAAAGTCTTTGAAATTCCTTAGAGATTTTGCCCCACCATTAATGAAAATGAGCAGATCATCCGCATAGGCTAGATGAGAAACCGGGTGACCTATATTGCCCATCCTAAAAGGTTGGATTCTGCCATTCTCAAACAAGGACTTAATGCCTCTTGAAAAAGCCTCTGAAGCAAGAATGAAGAGATAAGGGGATAAAGGGTCTCCCTGTTTAACTCCCCTCTTAGGTTTAAAAAAGCCTTGAGGAATCCCATTGATAAGGATAGATAAATAGGTGGATCTGAGGTTATTCAAGATAAGTTGAGTAAAATTTTTGGAGAATCCAAATTGATTCAGAACATCAACAATAAACTTCCAAGATAATTTATCAAAAGCTTTAGTCATGTCAAGCTTTACAATAACATTAGAGTCTCTCACCTTTTTGTCAATAGCATGAACCATTTCTTGGCTAATTAGAATCTGATCAGTGATGTCCCTACCTTCCATAAAACCAGCTTGCTCTGGAGATATAAGCCTGGGCATAATCTTTGATAATCTGGTAGTCAGCACTTTAGTGCAAATTTTGCTGATAAAATTGGCAAGACAAATAGGTCTAAACTCTGAAAAAGAAGTAGGGGCTTGGGTCTCAGGTATGAGAACCACTAAGCAGCTAGACATTCCTCTAGGAATAGGCTGGCCCATAAGAAAATCTTGCACAGCTAAAACCACATCTTTCCCAACAATCTCCCAGCACTTTCTAAAGAATTTACCATTAAAGCCATCAGGACCAGGAGCCCCATTTTGATTTAAACCCCAAACTGCTTCTTTGATTTCATCCATGTTAGGTAATTGCATAAGCATCTGATTATCAGCATCTTGGACTAACTTGGGTATTTGTTGCAGAATGCTTCCAGCCTCCACATTAGAATCAACAGAGTAAAGCTGAGAGAAATAGGCAACAACAGCATCACCAATTTGAGGAAGTGAATTCACTTGATTACCATCTAGATCAGTAATAGTGGAAATAGTTTGCTTCCTGTTTCTAATTTTAACATAGGAGTGAAAAAAATGGGAATTAGTGTCACCCTCTTTGAGCCACTGAATGTGTGCTTTCTGTTTCCAGAATTTCCTTTCTAGCTTGTATTTAGAAAGTAGAGTAGCTTTTAGAAAAGACCACCGCTCCTTGTTTTCTTCACTAGGATCATTGATGAAAACATTTTCAGCTTGTAAAACCTCCTGCTCGCACACTTTAATGGCTTCAAAAATATTCCCAAAATGTTTTTTATTCCAAGTCTTCAAATCCTTTTTAAGTGTCTGAAGTTTGAAAACCAAACCTCTCATACCACCACCAGATCTGCTTGAAAGCCAACTTTGTTTAACTGTTTCCAAAAAGGTAGGATGACTAAGACACATATTCTGGAATTTAAACGATTTAGGACCACTGGAACCACTTTTAGAGCACTGGACCAAAATAGGGTTATGATCAGACGGGGATTTGTCCAAGTATGAAATCTGGATGGAGCTGAAATGATCAATGAAGAGATTATTCAGTAGGGCTCTATCTAGTTTTCTCCAAACCCAACCGTTAGATCTAATACCAGACCAGGAGAACTGAGAGCCAAGATGAGGTAATTCAATAAGATCCGATGTAGCAATGAACTCAGAGAAATCAATGATACTCTCTAAAATAGGGGAGCTATTTCCTTTGTGCTCACAATGATTAGCAATAGCATTAAAGTCACCCCCCACTATCCAAGGATCAGACATAGTAGAAGAAATGGTTAGAAGGGAATTCCACAAATTCCTTCTAGTAATATGGTTGTGTTTACCATAAATTGCAGTTAACCAGCCTGTGAAATCATCCTTAGAAGCTTTCATATGGACAAATTGTGGATGCCAAGTAACCTCAGAGATAGAGACAACATTAGGGTTCCAAAAAACCCAAATTTTATTGATTGGGGAGAAGATAGCTTCTTGAAAGCCCAAAATCTGCTTAAACTCTGGAAGTCTATCACTGCCAATAATAGGTTCAATAGTTATTAAAATGGAGATATTCCACTGCTTAATTAAAGAAAAAAGTCTGGAAGAAGAGGCTTCCAGTCCTCTAACATTCCAAAATAAGAAATTCATTGAGTTATGTTTGAGGGAAGTATGGAAAGCCTGTTGGCTGTAGTTTTGTCATGTGACTCTGGAACTTCTGATGTGGTTTTCTTTTTTGCAGCATTCCTAGTGATTCTGGGAGGTTCTTCATGGGTAGCTTACTTCTTCTTCTTGGATTTTCTATTGGTAACCATTGTAAAACCCTCCTGGATTTCTATACTATTTTCCTCACCAATATGTATTGATGAATCTGAGTCCAGGTGTGTTGAGGATTGATCTGGGGTTTGTTTTGTATCCAGGAGTTCTGGGATGGATTCTGACTGTTTACTGCATTCAGAAGTGGAGGGTGCTTTAGTATCATCAACTTGTTTTCTAAGTATATCAATTTTTGCTGCTATCTCCGGCCAGGTATCCTTCCACTTTTGAATATCTATCTGAGAGTTGGGTTTATGTTTACCATCTGAGGCATATTGTTTGTCCTGAAGTTCTTCATCCCTGACTATCTGCTTATG